TAGGGGAGATGAAACAAACAGTCCCGTTCAAAAACACTGGGTCACTCGAACGCTAGAAGAGGGCCCGCATGTGGTAATCAGAAACGAGCTAGGCGAGTGGGAACGGGGTTGGAGGCTGATGCTCACGGGGCGAGGGTACGCAGCGGTCAAAAAGGACGGCAAAATCAGGTGGTGTCCACTTAAGTCGATTAAACTGGACCTTCAGGGCGAGCAGAATGAGACTGACGAGAATTGCGAGTATTTCTTTACAGGGCCTGCTCGTGGGACGCCCTCGTGATGCGTACTTCCCGGTTCCAGACGAAAGCGACAGACCACCAAGCCGCCAAGCAGCACTCGAGAGACCCGCACGGGTGAGACCCAAGCACCAAGGGTGTTTCTGTGTGATTTTGCTGTTGGGGCTTGTTGCCAGGGGGCATGCCGGGGGGCTTGTTGCCAGGGGGCAAGCCAGCCCAGACCACTACCCCCATCAGCCCTTCAGGTGGGTCATGCGACACCTTAGTAGGGGCAAAGCGCTCAGACAAATCACCACACCGAACACCCCATCCTTCGTGCTCCGCATCACCGACCTGTTTCCAGGACAGCCAAAGGTACACCCCTATTCCCCACACGTCACACACTCGTACCTATCCTACTGGTGCCCAGCTTTAAACCCTGGGAAAAGCTACTGCAATCACCCAGGGTGGGGATACTGTGGGCACTGGGGCTGCGAAACCATAGTTACAGATGCCAGGCCATTGGGGCCTGGGTAGGATCCACAAGAGCCAGACAAATTCTTACAGTTCACCTGGGCACCCATCGGTTGCAAAATACCCCTCTTCTTTCATGGAAACTTCCATCGAAACCAACATAAAATCCCTAGATTTCGGGCATGCACTGATTACAACATGACGGTCTCGCAGCCAGATCACCCTAGCTGGGCCACAGGCAGAACGTGGACAGTAGTCCTTCAAGGGTCAAAAGAGAGGGTGAACGTGCAAATTATCAGGCTCCAACCGTCAGCACCCCGAGCAGTCCGACCCAACAAAGTGATTAAAAGCGTGCCGAAAGGGAGAAACGTAACCTACCCCAAAACCTTACCCACAGGGGTCAGCAAAGTCCCGACCGGTCAAGCGGAAACCTTTCAGATGAGCCGCTTAACCGAGTCAGACTCAGACCCAATCCTTCGTATGTTAGAAGCTACCTTCATATCCCTGAACGAATCCAACCGTAACCTAACCGAATCCTGCTGGCTTTGTTACGATGTTAAACCCCCCTTTTTCGAAGGAGTCGCCTTAAACACTCCCTTCCAGTTATTCCACAGCCGACGCCCCTCACCAGTGCAGATGGGACACCCCTCGCAAGGGAATCACCCTGAGTCAAGTCACAGGCCGAGGCAGATGCTTTGGCAATGCAACCCTAGCTAAGCGGGGAGGCAACATCTGCACCAAAATCGTCAAGCCTAACAGGAAAAACAGTAAGTGGGCAGTCCCATCCGTGTCAGGGATGTGGGTTTGCCAGCGATCCGGAGTGAGTCCTTGTGTGTTCCTTCCCAAATTCAATGACTCTAACGACTTTTGTGTCCAAGTTCTGATTGTTCCTAGGATCCTGTACCACTCAGACGAAGAAATGTACCATCTTCTTGAGGGACACAGCCGGATCCACAAAAGAGAAATATTGACAGGTATAACTATCACAATGCTGCTCGGCCTGGGAGCAGCCGGAACGGCCACAGGAGTCTCAGCCCTAGCGACCCAGCACCAAGGACTGTCCCAGCTGCAAGCAACGATTGACGAGGACCTGCAAAGGATCAAGAAATCCATCTCCTTTCTAGAGAAGTCGGTCTCCTCACTCTCGGAAGTGGTCTTGCAGAACAGGCGAGGCCTGGACCTCCTGTTCATGCAGCAAGGGGGCCTGTGTGCCGCCTTGAAGGAGGAGTGCTGTTTCTATGCAGACCACAAGGGAGTCATGAGAGACTCCATGGCAGAACTCCGGAACCGACTGGCTCAGAGACAGAAAGACAGGGAAGCCCAACAGGGCTGGTACGAGTCCTGGTTCAATCAATCACCTTGGCTAACCACTCTGATTTCTGTCCTGATAGGTCCATTGGCGATGCTGCTTCTAACAGTCAGCTTTGGACCATGCCTGCTGAACAAGCTAGTCTCGTTCGTTCAGACCCTCCTGGAACGGACCAACATCCTGTTCTTAGGCCGACGACAATTGCTGTGAATTCAACCGGAGAATTCAACCAGAGAATTCAACCAGGGAACACTGTCAGTCACAAGATCCTCCGAACTTGTCTGACAAAAGCTTACTCAGGACTCCCAAGACCCTTTTTCCTTGTCAAGTTACAACCTTATACCTCATTTAAGTACCTATGTGCATGACTACCTCATTCATTTGTGAAAAAGGCGGGGGAGATGTGGTAGACAGGGAAAGGCGCTGCGGAAGATCTCGCGATGTCACGGAAAGCCAGGACCCTCTGATCCCCTTAGATAAGACCATCTGCTTCCCGTAGATAAGAAACTAACATAGGACGGTAGCCTCCCTTAACCAAATTCCAGTAACTTTCCATCCCCTACCCAGTAACAGTCCACCTCTTACTAACCATAGATGGTAAAGACAGACCCATGCTGACGTAGAGACCCCTTAGACTATAAAAACCCAAGAGATGAGATAATAAACGCCTTTTGACCGTCCATCACATTGATGTCTGCATGTGTCATTGGCCCGAGTGGCCCTGGTGAGTGGGCCACCGTGCTGTTCATCTGAACCAGGTCGCCTGCCTTGCTCCAGAAGGCAACACCCAATGGACCATTGGTTCCATGCAGCCCCACACTGTCACAATGACCCCATGGCTCCAGGAGCTTCCACACTGTCAGCAATGGTCTCCTTGGTTCCACAAGGCCTTGCTCTGATACAATGGACTTTTGGTTCCATGGGGTTCCAATGCATCACAATGGACACTTTTTTCCATGGGGTTCCACAGTGTCACAGCTGAGTCCTTGGTTCTGTCAGCCTCTGTGTCACCAAATGTCCAAAATATCAGATTAAGCCTCCTTAAAACTCATTTGCTATTTCAGAGGGGATCATTTCTTCAGGCCTGAGGCCCAACATGGGAAAACTGCTAACCTTACATGGACATGTAATTCTACCATTGTGTTGCTCATATACAGTCGCTAAATGTGAATTACAATTTACCCATTTCCATTAAACCCATCCCAAGTTCCCAGATTCAGTCCTTGTTTTCTCTATCCCTGCACCCATGAGCCAGATGTCTTCTTCTCTTCCAACCATCCTTGCTGGGAAGCCTGCCTGGTTCCTGTGCTGAAAGTTCACAGGCATGAAATTGAAATGAACCCTTTTGGTATCAGCCCCAGGCTTTGTGTGGGCAGGCAGAGGCAGGCAGGAGGCAGAGTGTCACAGACATCTTTTCATAAAAATCCTTTCTTTTAGGATTTGTCCTTTCTGGGAAGCTGAGGCCCCAGAAGAAAAATGTAAACAATTATTATCTGCTGTTGTGGAATGTAACAGATGCATCTGTGATTGGTCTTCTGTGAGTGTTTCGATTTACTGACCACTCACAGGAGAGATTGTCCTGCTTTCTGCCTGGACACAGAAACTTGTTTGTAGATTCCTATTCTATTCTTAGCTTAGCAGCTTCTGCAACTTCTCTCTCTATTCTTATTAGTATAGTCATAAAGTATTATATATCATATATTAATAAATCCACCCTTCTGATCATGAAGCAAGATTCTCGTCCATCTCTCTCACCCTGAGGAACCCTCTCAAGTCACTGCAATATCTGGTGACCCCTCGTGTCAGAGCAAAAATTAATTTGATAAGACCAGAGGAGCAAATTGCTGCACTGGGTAAAATCCTGTATGTGTAGCATTTGATGGTTCCTTTAGAAGTGGTCACAGAAGTGGATTCAAGCCAGGAGCTGAAGAACTGAAGATCCTGATTTGGACAGAGTTCACAGCCAAGGCTGACCACAAGTGAACCTTCTTCTGGAAAACCTTCAGGACAATGTTAGAAAAGAGCAGCAGAACCGTGGAGCTGGCCAGAGCATGCTGGACTCTTTCAAAAGGTACTGTTGCCTTTTCTATCCCTGAGGATTCAGCCTTGCGTAGTTTGTGGCTGTTCATATGGGGGACACACTCCTTGGAGGGAGAGGTTCGTTTCTCTCCTTCAGAGGAGAATCTTATTGCCCTCTGGCAAAAATGGAGTGCAGAGGATAGACTTTTCCTATCAGCAACAGATCTCTATGAGTTCTTTCGATGGGCAAAGCTTTTTGGGTTCTTTGCTGATGTGCTATATGCCTTGGATGTTTTCGTGTGGGAGTGCATGGACTCCATTTTCCGATTCATTTGGGGTTCAGGGGTGTGACTTCCCTCCCGTCTACCCAGCATTTAGAAAGCTCTTCCCAGTTTTGAAACGGAGAGCAGCTGTTTTTCCATGGATTTCTAACTGCTATGGGCTTGCTCCGTTCCCCCCATCCCCAGCGGGAGAAGACCCAGTGGGGGATGAGATTCTGCTTTCCAGCCCCCACTGCTTCGCGGTGGGGGGGGTGAAGCTTTGCTGTGCGAAGAAGTTTTTTTTACTCTTTCTCCGGAGCCTGCGCAGATGGAGCCATCTTCTCCCCCACCTTCTCCCTCGTCGGTGGAATGGGAGGGGGTGGCGCCTTTCAAGCCAGTGCCGCGGCCGCCTCCAAGACCTGCGCTGCCTCCGCCTCTGCCGGCCTCTTGGGCCCCACCCCGCTCAGAGATGGGGGTGGTACTGGTCCCCGAGGCCCCCCCACCCCTGCCAGCGCTGCGGCTGCCTCTCTGGGCGGTCCCACCCGCGGCTTCACCGGCTTACCCGCCTGCGTCTGAGAATTCAGAAACAGCGCTTCCTGCGCCTGCCCCCTTGTGGCTAGGAGACGCCCTCGACAAAAACACAGACTTGGCGCCGCCTTCCCGGGTGATCCCGGCTCCGCCTCTGCTGGCTTCCCCATTTGCGCTGATGTTGCCAAGCAACAGTGATCATCCGCCACCGCTTCTTCCGGCTGCTCCGGCGCTGCCCGTGGCTGTTTCGACGCCGCCCCTCCCGGCTGTTTCGCTGCTGTCCGTGTGCGTTCCACCGGCGACTGCATCTTGGCGGCTGACTTCAGAGTCAGTGGCAGAAGACGGCACCGACCCCGTGCCATGCCTGCAGCCGCTTTCAGAGCCAAGGGACAAAGCAGCGGCATGTTCCCGCTCATCCCCGCTGTTTCCTGCAGCTGAGCCATTGTTGCTAGGCGACGAAGACACGTCTGCAGTTTCCAGCTCAGCGGAGGAGGAATCCTCTCCAGCCTCCTTGGCCTCCCCGCCGCTTGCACCGGCCACCCCAGCAGTTCTGCCGCTGTCGGAGACTCTGTCCTCCGCGTCTGCATCAGAGGCTGCCCTGGAACCGGCTGTTTGTTTGAGCTCGGACCATCCCGGACCGGTTGCCTCTGTAGCAGCGGGCCCGGCGGCTGGTGTCTCCTTCCGTGGAGCGGGGGGTGCTCGCCAGCTGACTGTGGGGGCAGTGTGTCTGCCTGCATTCAAGATCAGCATTCTCGGCGGGTTGGGGATGTTTTGTCGGGGATTGTCCCATGGAGGCTGCCATCTCTGCCGCCTCTCTTGCGCCCTAGCAGCGGGGGGCTGGTGCATCCCGAGAGTTCTACCTTTGGTCCCCAGCCCACAGGGGGTGGGGGTGATGCCATGGGGTGGATGGGAGACACACCTGATGCATTTGCATTGCAGAGGGAGAGGGCACAGCTGGAGGAGCTGAAGGCTTGTTTGCTGTGGGAAACAAACATTCCTAGAACCAATATGGGATTTCTGGGGAAGGCTTCTATTTCCCTGCTGCTGGCATGCCTCAGTGGTTTTGGGGAAAGGAAGCGTCTCACCACCCGTGCTGCCATTTTACTGGCAGCAGGGTGCAGGCCTGTGGGAATGCAGAGCCTGCCTCATGGGTTTGGCCTGGGCCATTGGGCTCAAGAAGTTTCTGGGCCAGGGCCATCACTTGGCCTCCTGATGTGTCTAGGAATTGTGGTTTCTCCTACTGGTCCTGGGTCCCCTTTTGTGGGCCAGTTTTGGGGTTCATGCTTCGTCATGGGCCTGGGCCCCCAGGGTCTGTCCTTCTCTGGCACTGCTCTGCTCTGCTGCTGCTCTTTTCGATTAAAAAAAAAATAAAATTAAATAAAAAAGATTGAAAATAGCTGGTAGCAGCTCTGAAACAATGAAACATTGAAGGGACAGAAAATGACTTTCCAAAACTTGTTCAAATTGTTTGAAATTGTTTTATGACTGTCAATGGTTTTTGATAACTATTCATGGACTTTTTGCAGCAATTCTGTTTCAGGACCAAAAAAGACTTTCAGATATGTCCAAGAGGAAGGATTTTAGCCCATGGACTGTTCCTGAAACTCAGCTGCTTGAACTTCAATCTTCTTGGCATTGTTTTTTGCATTTTCTTAGATTGTAAGATTGTTTTAGTGATTTGTTAGTATTGTATGTTATACAGGTGAAAAAATTTCCTGTTCATTCCACATCAGCAATTTTTCTTTTTCATTTATATAATTTGGAAAGGTGACATGTCACAGACATCTTTTCATAAAAATCCTTTCTTTTAGAATTTGTCCTTTCTGGGAAGCTGAGGCCCCAGAAGAAAAATGTAAACAATTATTATCTGCTGTTGTGGAATGTAACAGATGCATCTGTGATTGGTCTTCTGTGAGTGTTTCGATTTACTGACCACTCACAGGAGAGATTGTCCTGCTTTCTGCCTGGACACAGAAACTTGTGTGTAGATTCCTATTCTATTCTTAGCTTAGCAGCTTCTGCAACTTTTCTCTGTATTCCTTTTAATATAGTCATAAAGTATTATATATCTTATATTATTAAATCCAGCCTTCTGATCATGAAGCAAGATTCTCGTCCATCTCTCTCACCCTGAGGAACCCTCACAAGTCACTGATATAGCAGAGCTGTCAGCAAAGGAGGCGCCCAGCCAGGTGGGGCAGCCGGGGAATGCCGACAGCCTGCAGGGACAGAGGCGCAGGGCAGGGACACCGTAGCACAGCCTGGGCTGCACAGGGCACAGGGATGGGCAGCAGCTGCAAGACAGCCCTGCCAGAGCCAACTTGGGCAGCACTTTGGCCATGGCTGCTGGGCCTGGGCCTGAGGCAGGAGCAGGAGACAAGTGACCCTTGCAGGCCTGGGGCCTCATTGCCTCCTTGTCCCTGCTCAGCAGCCTGGCAGGGGCCGCCCCATGCTCCTGCCCTTGCCATTGCCATCCCCACGTGCCAGTGCCCATCCCGGCAAGAGCCCTGAGCAAGGAGGGAGGGACAGCATCTGCCTGGCCAGGGGCTGGGGCTCAGGCCTTGGCCCTTTGCTTTCCTCAAATACATCCAGCTTTGCTTAGCACCAGAGACACCTTTGCCTTGTTTGTCCCCAGCTGTCATCACTGCCTCCAGTGTTCGGCCCTAACTGGAACCTGGGGAAACTTTGTGAGGTGTGTTCCTCAGTGGAACGCCTTAAAACTTGAAGAAGCCTCAGAGTTTCAATAAAACTTTGAGTTCTTGAGAAGTTTTTGAACACACTCTCAGGGACTGAGTCTGATGTAAACAACATCAAAGCCCTGAGAGGGTCATTAAAGTTTTCCTAGTCCAGTGATGAAGAACGATTTAAAATAACTTTTAAGAAATACAAATTTCTAGTTTAATTGAGGTATTTTTTTGTTTTATTTCTCCTTAGAGCAGAGGTGATTGCAGCATTCTGTGATTGATATTGACCCAGGGTCTCTCCTCAGCAGCTCTGGCCTGCTCACAGAAGCTGTGCCTTGAGCTCTGACCCAGTGTGGACAACCTTGCTCCACATTGCCCAGTCCCATCCTGTCTGTCCTCACTCCCCTGGGACCTGCTGTGCTTCCAGAGCTGGCTGCACTCAGCCCAAGAGGGGTTTTCCCTTTTTGGGGTTTTTTGCAGCAATCTGAACCTCCTGAATTTCCGCACTGCAAACAGACACACTGCTCAGGTGTGTGCCAGCCCCAGGTGCCACCAAAGCCACTGCAGAGCTGCCCTGGGCCAGCTGTGAGGGTGGATCATCAGCCCAAGGTGCTCTGGGCCCCTGCAAGGGGCTGTGGCCATGGGCACTGCACTGACCTCACTGCTGGGTTTGGCTGCCACGGCCACCGAGAGAAATTCAACTGTCCTTGGAAACCCTGGGGAGGACTGGGACATACTGGGGATCACTGGGAACGCTGTGGGAGACACTGGGACATACTGGGAGTGATACTGGGAAAGACAGGGACATCCTGGTAACACGAGGAATGCTGAGGGGGAATGTGGGTGGACTGGGATGGACTGTTGGGTACACTGGGACATATTGGGAGTGATACTGGGGCAAACTGGGGACACTGGGGACATTGCTGAGAAGACTGGGGACACAGGGGCATCCTCTGGATGAAATTGGGGTGAACTGGAAGGGACTGGGAATGAACTCAGGTGTATTGGGAGGGACTGGGCTGTAATGCGCGGGACTGGAGGGACACTGGGGTTGTACTGGGCTGTACTGAGGATGAACTGGTCTACTGGGAGGGACTGGAGGAGGGTGAATTGGCTTTTCCCACCTCTACCGGCTCCCATTTGCTGAGGCTCCCGCTCATCACTGCTGGCAGCCAATCATCGCCAGAGATGGAGGCCTCGGGGGCGGTGTCTAGGGAGGTGCCATCTTTTTTTTTTACCTACAACTGCCGTCATGCCCTGCGTCCCAATTGAGCCTTAGTGGAGCCGGGACTGCCACTCCCGTCATGCCTCGCGCTCCACAGAACACCAGGATCCACCCCCATCAGTCCCATCAGAGTCCCTCAGACCCTCCAGGGTCCCTCAGTGTTCCCTCAGCGCCCATTCGGGAGCCCCCAAAAGCATCCCCGGACCCCCTGGGTGCTCCCAACCCCACAGATGCCCAGTACAGCCACTTCTAGGAATTCATCTCCTCTCATTCCCCGCGGCCCCAGAGCCCCTCAGAACACAGTCCCGTGCCTAGAACTCCTGCCGTGCCCCACGCCCTAAAAAGCCCGGTTAGAGCTCCCCGAGCTCCCCCCCCCCCCGAGTGCTCCTGAAACATTTACGTTTCCCCCCAAGGATCCGAAGACACGGCTCGGAGGCAAAAGTGTCCCCCAAGAGCCTTCCCGAACCCCCAAATATTGCTTTGGAACCACTTCCGGGACTATGGCTCCAATCATGCTCCGCGACCCTCGCACAGCGCTATTTTAGTCGGGACTTCATCTCCCGTCATTCCTCGCGCCCCACCGAGAGCCATTGCAGCTGCGCCCAGAACTCCTGTGATGCTCCGCGGCGCCGTTAAACCGTATGATACCCACGCCTTCAACTCCCATCACCCCCCGCGCCCCAGAGAGCCCTGTTCCAGCCCCCCACAAGGGCAAGCCCGGACACCGAAGGGCCCCAGATTCCCCGCCCTGACTTCCAAGGGCCCCCCTGGATCCGCAAGTGCTGCCCCAGACCCTGAACTCTCCCTCAGGATCCCTGAGTGCCCCTCCAAGTGCCCATCCAGCTCCCCCAAGTGTCCTCCAGACCCTCAAGTTCTCTCTGAATTCCCTCCCCAGACCCAAAACTGCCCAAAATGTACCCCAGAAATGTCTCCAGGGACCCCTAAGTGTCCCCTTTTACCCTGTCTGTGAAAATTATTAAAAAGATGACAGAAGGATTTTAAATAGGACTAATTAGCATAAAGAAGGAGAAATCAATAGCCAACACTGGTCAATGAATTAATGAAGGGAATTGTGTTACTTAGAACCAATGACCAATAAATCTTTTGCTTGCTAAAAATGTATGGATTTTTAAATATAAATATAAAATTCAGTAATACAAATATAGAATAACACTATTATAATCAATTAGAACAAATAATTATCATTTATTTATTCATTACTTTTTTTTAGAGGAAAATGCATAAAGTTTTTATGCTTTGGATTGTCATTCTGTAAGAGACGGTCCAAAGATCCTTCATCTGCCTCACAGCTGCTGTCAAGGACAGAGATTGAAGCCCTCCCTGTAATGGGTTAAAACTTTAAGTTTGTTCATCAAAACTGACAAAGTTATTCCAGTAGGACTGCTGCACCACCTCTAGTTTGTTTAAGTAAATTTCCAGACTTTAAAGGATAAGGAAGGTGAAACCAAAAGACAATAGCTTTCACAAACATTTGTTTATCTGTTTAGTAAACTGTTAATATGGGTGGGGGGTTTGCTATGATTGATAACACAGTATCAGCTTATCCGCTCAGTAAACCTAGGATTCCAGGAACTCAGCAGATTGAGGCTAAAAATTCCAGGAATCAGACAAAGGAAAATTACCAACCTTCATCTTCAGACCCCGGGAGGTGGACTATGACCACCTAAACACAAAAGAAGAATACGCAGAGTACTACACATCAACCCGGAAGCAGGACTGTATAAGAACTCCACGGAAAATCAGAAGAG